AAAGTCTTTCTCAGAACAAACGATCAAACGCAGAAGTATGGATGACATCCGTTCAAATTGATTTCCTTTCGTGATAAAATAGCTGTAGAAATTTGTTACTGATTTGTAAAACTGACATTGCTTACCAAGAATAATTGGCACTGTGGTTATAGAGTCTTCGCCCATAAGGTTGCTTGCCTTGCAAGTGTAGTTGACCCCATCTTGATCCTTATCGACTTCTTTTATAACCAGTGTTCCGTCCATATCCAACTTGTAGCGACTGTTCTCTTCGTAAGTAATAAGCTCGCCATCTTTAAACCAGCGATATGATGGTTGCGGCGCTCCTGTGCTAGGCTTACAAGGTAACCTAGCCTCTTTCTCATTGAGCAGATGAAAAGGACCAAACTGCACGTTTTCAAAAGATGGCTTCCAAGCTGTCGCGAGAATGATATGAAGTGATTTTGTGAGTTTGTTATGAGAGTTATACCGAGCAATATGGCTAACCATTTTCATCAGAAACCTCTCGATTCTAAGTCGATGGCCACTATGAGTTCGAGATTCTTCAATGGCGAAACAGTGGTTGTATGCCGACATTAGTTATTTTGGCGGATAAAAGGCATTAGCCGAGTCTTGGTGGTGGTGTCAAATTCAAGGTATCGACCTGTCAACAGTTTTACAGTTTTTCGATTACGAAAGGGTGTAATTACGTCTCATAATGGAGACTGTATTGCTCGTTCAGTATGCAGGAAAGCTATATTTTGCATTAACTTGCATTCAGATCTCTATTGGTAATGTTGTAATGTAGGAAGGCAACATTACTAAGCTTATTCTAGTTTCTCTACTGAATAATCCTCACAAATGGGATAGGAGTCCTTGGCTGGTAAGTCACCAGCAAGTTGGTCAGATTGCCGGAAGGTTGCTTGTAATTCAAGAGTTAAGTTTTTGGAGGAGACTGCTACCCGATAACCAGCCAGGGATAAAACCTGGACATCTCAATCCGCAGTATTACACGCTAACCACCAGGCCCCGGTTGTTCGAATGGTAGATAATAACCGGGTAAATATATATCCACTGAATAGTGTAATACGCTTTGTTAACACTTATCCACTTTATGGCGGTCTATCTGTTGGATAGATTTATCCGCCCTTTTTACAACTGGCCTCAGTCATCTAAAAGTCTTCCGAGTGCACTCTTAATTTTTGCTTGCGATTAGGTACCTGAAACGTAGACCCAAGTTGAAGATATGATCGTGCCATGAGCATTGGTGGCCTCGCATTGATAGACGCCTGTATCGTCAAGATTCACATCTGTTAGATGTAACTTGTTGTCAGCTAAGACAAGACGCCTAAATTTTCCAAAAGGAAAACATATAATCAGTAGATTCGGGAGCTAATTACAAAGTTTAAAACGCATGAACGCGAATACTTTTTGTGTTTTTCGAGATGCTCTGGGCGTTTCCATCATTCAAAGGGCTGTAGGCCCTCAAGGCAAATTGTGTTAAATTTTCCTCAAAATATTTAGAAATGAATCGATATATAACATTTTGACCTATTTAAGATGTTTCATTTACAGGTAGAATAATACATAACTCATTTTGAGGGAGAGTAACACATAAAACTCCTTTTTTCCTTATTCGTCATTGAACAATCAGTAGCGAAATATTTTGTATTTGATGAGCAGAGTGGTTCAGTGATCTCATATCTTCGACATTCATCCAAAATAATTCGGGATACGTGAATGTCACTGCAAATGGCACTTGATTCTGAAACTTTTTTGCGCTAGTCAAGCTAAATAGCTCTTCCCAGTTTTCTCATTTTGCTCGTCTCTTTAACCGCGCGCTAACTCACCTCATTTCACGTCAAGAGTTTACATTCAAAGGCAATAACTCTTGTTTGGGTTTATTTTTAGCTTTTGTGGTTTCATTTTACACGAAGTATAGGATGCAACGCTATCAAGTTTACCTCCCTGTGTTTTAAGAAATATTATTATGCAAACTTACCCTGAAGGCTGAAGTACTTCTCCATTTTTATACCATGTCGTTATTGCAGCAGGGTTTGCTGTTACTTGACATTCCAACGTGCCGTTTTTTTCAATGACGATGGTGATGTCATTTGGTGGAGGATTCGCTGCCCATTTTGGTGGAACTGCGAAGTGGAATAGGATCGCAAGGGTGTTAGAGCATAATGTTATTGTTTTTTGTTTGTTTGTTTGTTTGGTTTTGTTCTTCATTCCTTTTTTTTCCTGTGTGTTTCCTGGTTTGTTTGTGTTCTTAATAATCAGAATTACCTTCAATCTCAAGGGAATCTCAAAATAATATTAGGCTAAAGAGTTGAAAAATTAAAGAGAAAACAGAAAACCACAAGGATATAAGTATGATTGGGTATGAAAAAGTATTGTATAGGATTTCTAATGAGGCGCTTATAAACTTTGAGGTGAGCGGGCTTTTTTTAAATGAGGAAGTACTCCAAGAAGCACTTTTCGCGTAGGCAATCGCGTTTTCGTACAAATAAGTGAGTAGGCGTATTATTTATCCTCCTAGATCAGTCAAGTATCCTTGACAGCACGCTGATACTCTGATAATGTAGTGCCCTGAAAACAGCACAAAACAGTAACCCTGTCCACGGTTCGAAAGCGAAACTCTCGACCTAAATTCTAGCAGATTTGCCAGCAGTTCACTATGTCTCTTAAAGGTCACTTAAATACGTTATTCTGTCGTACAGGCTATGTTCAGACAAGCCATTCTGTTGAACAGAGTATGTGCAGACGAGTTATTCTGTTCTACAGTGTGAGTTCAGACAAGTTATCCGTTGTTACATTGTTCCTGGTTACGACTCAAAGACGACTCAACGGTTCCTCTTTCGTTTACAGGCTTCACACTAAGGTCAACGCACAATACGCCAAACGGAATATAGGGACTTTTGTTACCTGACTATAAGGACCCAAGTTTCTGATAACTCCTGCGG